TGAGATGAAGAAAGTTGGGAAGAACATTCTAACTATAGCTAACAGTATATGCAGTGAGTGGCCTTATGATGGGAAAGAGAATAAAGTGTTGGAGAACTGAAACCAGGATGATGGGCTGAAGACCAGAAAACACGGGAGAAACCTCACACAAATTGAGCCTGGAGGGATATTTAGGGACCAAACTGTGCATAGCTCTATAGACTCTATTAAGAAAATTGTGTTTTTTTAAAAAAATTTTGTGAATAATGGACTGCTACTAAAAGGAGCACTGTGTGTGTGTGTGTGTGTGTGTAATTTGCATTACAAAAAATCATTCTGATTGTATTGTGGAACAGATTGGAGGGGGCCCAAGAGGAGAGGCAGAGTCCTATTTGTAGTAGTGTAGGTGAGTGATTGATGGTTTCTTTTTTTTTTTAATATATTTTATTGATTTTTTACAGAGAGGAAGAGAGAGAGGTAGAGAGTTAGAAACATCGATGAGAGAGAAACATCGATGAGAGAGAAACATCGATCAACTGCCTCCTGCACATCTCCTACTGGGAATGTGCCCACAACCCAGGTACATGCCCTTGACCAGAATCGAACCTGGGACCTTTCAGTCCACAAGCCGACGCTCTATCCACTGAGCCAAACCGGTTTCGGCTGATGGTTTCTTCTTAAGGGCCGTAAGTGATAGAGATGGAGAGAAACAGGTGGAGTCAAGAGACATTTAGGAGGTAAGATCCACAGGACAAGATTATGGGTTGGCTATGGCAGGTGAAAGAGAAAATGAAGGAGACAGAGGGAGAGGGTTTTGGATTGCATAAATGAAGTTTGATGGTGCCATTCACTGAAGGAATGCTGAAAGATAATTCAGTTTGGAGAGAAGATAGAGTTTAGTTGGGGCATATTGAGTTTGAGATGTTAATGATATATCCAAGAGATGATGTCAAGTAAGCAATTGGTTATATAACTGTGGAGTTCAGAATAGAGATCTGGTCTAAAGATTGAATTTTGAGATTCATATGTGTATAGGTGTCAATTGGAATACTGTGTGTGGAGAAATTATAGAGGGAAAAGGGAAGAGGTACTGGGACCAAGCCTTGAGGGACTCTAATAATTAATAACCAGGTAAAATAGGATGAGTCTGCAAAGGAGATAGAGGAATAGCCAGATAAGTAGGAGAAAATCCAACAGCATGTTATGTCATGGAAGTAAAAAAAAAGTATTTAAAGAAGGATGGAGTGGCCAACATTGTCAAAAGTTGTTGAGAGGTCAAGTAAGATGAGGACTGAAAAAGTATTTATATATTTACTTGGAGCCAATTGGTGGCCTTAGTGAATGCTGTTCAGTTGAATGATGATGACTGAAGCCAGGTTAGTGGGCTAAAGAATGGAGCAAGAAAAACAGACTCCTAGATACAGAGGACAGACTGACAGCTGTCAGAGGGGAGGAGGACTGGGGGACTGGGTAAAATAGGTAAAGAGATTAAGAAAAACAAACAAACAAACAAAAAACCCCTCATGGACATAGACCAGTGATGGCGAACCTATGACAAGCGTGCCAGAGGTGACATGCGAACTCATTTTATTGGTTGATTTTTCTTTGTTAAGTGGCATTTAAATATATAAAATAAATATATCAAAAACATAAGTCTTTGTTTTACTATAGTTGCAAATATCAAAAAATTTCTATATGTGACACACCACCAGAGTTAAGTTAGGGTTTTTCAAATGCTGACACGCCGAGCTCTAAAGGTTCGCCATCACTGACATAGACAATAGTATAGTGATTGCCAGAGGGAAGGTGGGTAGGAACAGATGGAAGAGGGTAAATGGGGATAAGTGGTGATGGAAGAAGACTAGACTTTGGATGGTGAGCTCACAAAGCAAAGTGCAGATGATGTATTGTAGACTTCTACACTTGAAACATATAACTTTATTGACCATGTAACTACAATAAATTCAATTTAAAACAAAAGAACAGGGCAGGAGAACTTGGAGTCAGACAGTATAGATACATTTTCTTTAAAGAAATTTGAATGTGATGGGGAAGACAGAGCTAGGGCACTACCTGCAGAAGAATGTCTGATTTTTATATTTTATTTTAGGAGACTACAATATGTTTTACATGAGGAGGGGAAGGCTCCTTAGGGGAAGGAGGGATAACTGCTGGTGTAAGGTTACTGAGACATTAGTGCAGCTAAATTTTTATCTGTTGACTTTATTTTTTCCCATGAAGTAAGAGGCATTATTATTTGATAAATATATGGGTGTAGAATTTGAGAATGGGGAAGGTCATAAACAGCTAGTGTAGATAGTGGGAGCATAAACTGACCAGAGAAAAGTAGTAGGATGGCTGGGCAGTGTGAAAAGCTTATTTGAGTTTGAGATGGCCATGAATTTATAGAAATACTATTCATCCTTTTATGTGTCTGTGTCAGCAGTGCTTAATTGCTCAAGTGCAGATATTAAGGCAATGGATAATTAGGCTGTCCCAGATTTGGTGGAAGTGAGGTGAGGAAGAGAACACTACCAGCCAGGCTCCTGAAGGGTCTCTTTGCCTTCAGTGTTTTCACATTCCTACCTATCCTGTATACTGCCACAAGAATTATTTTCCTTAAAGACTACTTTTTATCAACTCCTTTGCCTTGCTCAAGATGTAGTGAGTAAGAGCACAGCTGATAGACCTTGGTTTGAACTCCTTGTGAACTCCAGCAATTCATGTAAACTTCTGACACTCCATTTCTTCAATTCAAAATGGGGGTTAATTGTAATATCTACCTTATAAGGTTATTAGGAGCATTAGATTAGATAGCATGTAGCACAGTGCTTGGCCTGTAATAAGTACATGAAAGCTGCTATATTATATTCTCTTATCTGTTTATCCACCTTCCCCTTCAGGTTTCAGCCTAGTCTGAAATTCTCTCTCACCCTTATCCAACATACTTTATCCCAGTTAGACTGATGTTTTCACTGCCTCCATTTTCATTGTCATGTGCCTTGCCTGCTCTACCCAAACCTCATAACTTCTCAAAGGCCTGCATCTTCTAAATGAAAGCTTCCTCATTAGCTTGAAAACAGTGTTGCTCTCTCACTGCACTGATCTCCCATTGCACTTTTGGAACCTGATTAAATTCCATTGTTCACTTTATTATAAGCAGTTATTGTATTTACTGCTGGTGTAAGGTTACTGAGACATTAGGGCAGCTAAATTTTTATCTGTTGACTTTATTTTTTCCTATGAAGTAAGAGGCATGATTATTTGATAAATATATGGTATAGAATTTGAGAATGGGGAAGGTCACAAACAGCTAGTGTAGATAGTGGAAGCATAAATTGACCAGAGAAAAGTAGTAGGATGGCTGGACAGTGTGAAAAGCTTATTATATTATTACTTTATTATATTTTTATTGTTTTGTTGAAAAATATTATTATACCAGGGTGAGCAAAGGTATATTTACAGTTATAAACAATAATTAATAAACAAATAATACAAGAATAAAGTGTTTTGTGTACTCATAACTGTAAATCTACTTTTGCCCACCTTATATTACTAAAATGTCTAAAATATTTTAGTAATATAAGACTTTTCCAATAAGAGTGTGAGCTCTTTGAGCCAAAGAATCATGCCATAAACTCTATGCATTTCTTACAGGACCTAGAATAGTATTCACAGTACTTGTTAAATTTAATTTACTTGAATTGAGACATAAGCCAGGTCCCAGTGACCTCTAAAGTAGAGTACACAGACAATACATTAGAATACAGGAAGAAAATATTGTAAAACATCTATTTATACTTATATTCTTTGACAGTTCTGTTTTTGTGTATGTTTATAATGTATATTATACAAATTTATTATATATACATATATAGAGGATTGAAAAACATAAGTGGTGCATATTCAAGAAATTTTAATATTGGGGTTCAGATCAAAACATTTTTTCTATAGTATTTAAATTAATAATAGCCCTAACCGGTTTGGCTCAGTGGATAGAGCGTTGGCCTGCGGACTCAAGGGTCCCAGGTTCGATTCCGGTCAAGGGCATGTACCTTGGTTGCGGGCACATCCCCAGTAGGGAGTGTGCAGGAGGCAGCTGATCGATGTTTCTCCCTCACTGATGTTTCTAACTCTCTATCCCTCTCCCTTCCTCTCTGTAAAAAATCAATAAAATATATTTAAAAAAAATTAATAATAGAAATTTGATCCAGTCCAAACTAGCAAGCCCATGGTGGGCACACGATATAATATACAGATCATGTATTACAGAAATCTACACTTGAAACCTATATAATTTTATTAACCCATGTCACCCTAATAAATTTAATAAAAATAAATAGAAAAATAAAATAGCAAACCTTTATTTGCCACAGTTAATTATGTTTTGGTCACTTACTCTTTGTCAGGTGCTATGCTAAATGCCTTACATGCATTAATTTCTCAAAACAATTTCATAAGGTAGATATTATTATCTCACATTATATAGGAGGAAATTGAAGCAAAGAGGGGTTAAGTAACTAGTCCAAGGCTATATAATGAGAAAGTGATGAGCCAGGATTTAAAACTACCTTTATTTTAATCCAAAGCTGGTCATATTTTTGAAGATTTTTAACTACACAATTAATTTCTTTAATAGATACAAGACTATTCAAGTTATTTATTTCTTCATAAGTAAGTTTTGATAACTTGTGTCTTTGAAAAAAATGGTCCATTTTCCAAAGCTAATCCTCTCAATTAGTACACTACTATAGCATGTACACCTCTTTCAGAAGTGCCTATGTTTTTTTATGGAGACATTATGGAGTAGACTTCTTACTTAACCAGGGCATTATGAGAACCATATAGAGATTTTAGAAAGTAGAAAGTCATCATAAGAAAAACCAAGTAATTGATTTTATTATATTTGATACTTAACTCCTTTTTAAAATATGAGAAAAATATAGAGCTCTTTCTTAAAGAATGATCTCTTAATTTGAAAGCTGAACCCAAAGTAAACACATGCTTTCTATCTTTTTCAGTTGTTTCTGAAAATATGACAATTCAAGAAACAAGTACAATTCTTTCACAGCAAATAGATTTAACAATCCCATCCCAAATTACTGGACTAAACCCTCAAAATACTGTATATACTTCTACAATTATGTCTAAAGGCATACCTGTATTTAAAACTGATTATAAAACCATATCATATTCCAATACAACATCTCCACCTCTGGAAACAATGACTGTACCAAATTTTTTAAAGACATCCATTTCTGAGACAGCTACATTCATAGCAGACATTTTGTCTACTTCAGCAACTGTTGCTCTACCCACCAAGAATACTTCCACAGGCACTACTACCAATTCCATGAAAATAACTAAATGCCCATCTTCAGAGAACACAGTGACAACAAAAAGGGCTGGATACATTTTTGAGACCTTTTATCCAACTACAGCTACTAATTTCTTATACACAACTGGATTTACCAAGAATTCAATTGTACCCAAAACTTCAGCGATTGGATCTCCACTGGCCATTAGGAAGACAGCATCTTTATGCTCATCTATTGAGTCAACATCCAAATCTACACCATCATGGCATAAACACATATCCACAGGTATTGGAGCACTCCCTATCTCCACAGATAGCCAGGAGTTTCTTGCATCTACAGTTGCTGGAACTGTACCTTGGTCCACCGTGAAACAGACTTCTACTCACTTTGGGACTGCATCAGCATTCCCACCTATGTCTGTGCTCATCTCCAAAGCTGCTTCAGTAGATACTGTATTTCCTAGAAATCAGAAAGCATCTACATTGTCAATGACTGATAAAAATATATCATTTACAGTTCATTCAATGACACTTCCATCTAAGCCTATTGAGACGACTTCTGAGATAAGAACAGTTGAAACAGAATTGACATCTACAAATTTCCAGGATGTCTCTTCACCCAGAATGGAGGATACAATGTCTATCTCCATGCCAAAAGAGGCCTCTTCTATGGCCCTTTCTTTCAGGACATCCTCTTCATTAACCAGAGCTCAGAGTGTACAGACAAATATTGATACTGAGACCACACATACATCCTTGATTCCTGGAATCACACTTGCACCTGCAGCTGATGAAAGTATGCTTTCCCCCACAGTTACTGGGTCAGAATATGCCAAGAATACATCCACAGATGGTGAAAATGTGTTTCCTTTTTTCTCCACCAGATCAGCTTTCACATCCAGGGCATCTGAGTCTGGTCCCACAATAATAAGTGATAAAGGTGCCTATCTATTTACCAGTGAGATCAATTGGACTTCCAGACCAGACCAAACTCTGTTGACGTCAATATTCCATGGGAATACTTCTAATACAGAACATTCATCCACAACTGCTGATGTTAATATACCTCCAGAAGCATCCATAGAAAGTGAGGCTACCACTACAGCTGATGCTATTATTAATACTGATACCATAATAGACAGATATACAACAGCTCCATCCAACTTGACATCTCTGTGTTTGGCTAATTTCTCCATAGTTTCTAGAACCACATCTGTAAAGAAACTTCCTGAGTTTAAACTTACCACCTTATTACTAAGAACCACCCCTAGATCCACAGTAGCTGGAAATGAACTTATTTCAACATCAAAGGAAACAGTTTTTCCACCAGTAGATATAATATCTACCCTTGCTGACACTGAACTAGATTTTTCTACTGAGAGTGCTTCTGAGACTACAGAAACAGAGGTAAAAAATACAATTGCATTTGGAGAGACAACAATCCCTGTACCGGAGTCTGCAACAACACAAAGATTCAATGCTTCTGTGACAAGGAAAGAAACAACTTCCCATTATCTTAAGGGAAGATCAACTATAGCAGCAACAACAGAGGTTTCTTCATTTGCAACAATGCAGGAAGCAACAGATGAGTCTATACAAATGGTGACAGCTTCTGTCATTGTTTCCCCTTTTCCTGATTTAGAAAAGTCGACTTCCCCATTGGATAATAAAACTGCAACTACTGAGTTGAAAGGAAGATGGTTTTCTCCAAAATCAGTTAAAACCACACCTGAGACTTCCTACAATGGATCTACAGAAATCTTTTATTCCACCCACACATACACAGCAGAATGGACTTCAAAGACTCCACCTGAAGGTAATCCAACTCCATATCTCACTTCTGGGAGCACAAAGGCATTCCCTGAACCCAGGGCTTCCTCCACATCTGCATTCTCAGATGTCTCACCTCTGTCATCAGCTATAATGACTACAGCATCAGTGCCACCAATGGATCAGACTGCTTCCACAACCAGCGATATTGTGACACCTATAACAATTTCCTTTCTGACAGAAACTACAGTCTCCTCATTGAGACCTACAAGTCCTTTGGCAACTAAGGCTGAGACCACTGTTCTGTCCACCTCAGCTGACAGAGTAACTTCATCCACACCCACTCTTACCTGCTCTAAATATCTCCCTGACAATATTTCTGTTGTGACCTCCACTCATATGATCTCAACAATGTCTATACCAGTAGCAACCCAGTCCACGTCTCGAGTAGAGGATGCTTCCACCCATGCTCTCAGCTTCCCGAATACTTTCAATGGCAGTGGAGATGTTGTTAGCTTCATTACTGCCACCACAGAAAATTATGTTATTGATGAGACCAGGCCCTCTACCAACAAGCTTACTACCTCAGATGGTCAGATTTCTCAATTTTCCACACGTCTTGCAAACATACTTGTTCCCACTCTATCAGTGACTCATATTTCTACCTTAACTTCTGACAAAGAGCAGATTATCACCTCCCTAGGAAAAACCCTTGGAACTATGGAGGTGACAGAGATATCCCCATCAAATAATCCTTTTATTTCAGAGTCTCAGAGTTCTTCATCCTTGGAAATGACAGATACAGGATTTGCTGAGACCACAAAAGTGTCCAGTCATCAAACACATTCACCTTCAGAGATTCCACTTGTAACTCCCCCTGATGGAATTTCAGCTTCATCTCCCACATCTGGGCATACACAGACTATACCTACCACCTGGATCTCAAGTAACACCGATGTTCACATTTCAGAAATGTCTACCAGTCTTGGGAAAACAGCTTTCCCTTCAAAAGCTCTGACAATTATGACATTTTTGTCTCCTGACAAAGAAAGCATAAGTGCCCTCTCAATATCTACTTGCAGGACTGAGAAAATGACAGTAAGAACCACCTCTGTGACTCCACCTTTCTCATATCACCAGAACACTTCATTTGTAGATGCCATATCTTCCAGGACAACCAGAATATCAAATCCTATAAACATCAACACAACTCTTTCACACTTGCTTTCACCCCAGACTCAACCTAAGGGGACATCAGTTGCCTCTTCCATTTCTGAAAGCACACAGACCTCCCCAGAGTCCCTGTCTTTTTCCATAACTGGACTGTCTAGTGCCAATTTTACAATTATTTCTACTGACAGGGTCACTACAGCCCTTTCTGCTCCAAGTGTAACTACCACACTTCTTGGGAAAACATCTATGGCAACGTCCATTCCTATCTACCAGATGTCTTCACTGCCAGTTACTGCCTTCACCTCCAAAAGAGTTTCTGACACTCCTACAATGCTAATGACCAAATATTCTAAAATAACACATGCAGATTGTTTGAAAAGACACTCTATAGCTACTTCTGGACGTGGGTCTGAGATGTCCTCAATGTCAGTTCATGACTCTGCTTTTTCACCTCCAACTGTTTCTCCTGACAATTCCACAACAGTTGGATCATTCTCTACTTTATCGTCTTCAATTACCCCTAGGACTACTATAACCATACAAACATCTACATTAGATGTCACACCTGTGACATATGCTGGTTCTCCTTCAAAAATCACAATGGTTTCTTCTGCTTTTACTACTTCAGAAATGACAGAGATGTCCTCCCAGATCACACCTACATCCTTTTCCTCTCCAACAGAGACAACTTATCCCTCCGTGAAAACCATTCCAACCACTATTATGGCTGGGGTGATGACTCCATTTGTAGGCACCACTGACTCCTTTCTACTCAGTTCTGAGAACACTGAAGCTATGTCTTCCATTCCAAAGACCACATTTTCACCATTTTTATCAACATCCCCACAGTCATTCCAAGGAGACAAGGCTACAACTCTGGGCATATTAACTGGAATTACTAACACCTCCCTATCTACTGTAAGCAGTGGTAGAGTAACAATTTTCACAAATACTTATTCTAGAACTGCTGCTCCTAAAAGTGTGATTTCATCTATTCCTTCAGATAGTCTCCCTACTCCCGTGAATATTCAGGTTTCCCAATATTTGACTACCTTTAAGAGCACTCCTAGACCCACACAAAGTATAAAAGCCACCACTTTCTTTTCTTCAAAAACAAAAAAAATGACTTCCTTGTCTGAAAATACTTCAAGCACTGAACTAACAAAAGGTGCCACATCTGTAAATACCCCTGTTTCATACCATCCATGGACTCCATCCAGTGCAACTCTGCTCCCTTTTAAAACATTTCTTTTTTCACCTCATAGTACTAAAGCTGAATTCTCTACTCCAAAGACTTATCTTCCTCCTACATCCCACATGGTTGAATTTCCAGTTCTGGTAACAAGAACCACATCTAGTAACACCCAGCCTCTGCTTATGACTTCCTGGAACATACCCATAGCTAAAGATTCTCAATTTCCAATTTTTACCACTACTCATGTGCCTACACCCAAGAAGATGGAAACAGAGACTCCATACCTTGTTCCTGGGTCTTTATCAACATTCACGGCCTCTAAGACTGGTCTTGTATCTGGAAATGTTATGGCAATATCATCAATTTCTACATCAGGAATTCTTCCTACCTTGGGGATGTCTGAGAGCCCTTCATTATCAATATCTTCAAGAACTATTCCTACCACTTTGGTTGACATTAAGCAGACATTTGGTAAGACTAACATATCTGTGACTCCTGTGGCCACACTCCCATCAAATCCTTCTTGTGCTACTTCGGGATCTATAATTTCAAAAAATACTACTTCACCCATGCTGACATGGGTCTTATCTAGTCTCCCTTCAGGTTCTCCTCTGGCAACCATATCTAATACTCCTCAGTTATAACTTCCTCTGCAGTAGAGGTGCAGCCCACACTGGACTCCCTTCCAAATATAAGCACTACTACATCCACAACTACTGAAGCCTCATTTTCTCTCACATCTACTGGAGTAACATATCCTTCTTACAGCAACTGTGTTTTCACTACTTTCTTCCTCTCTTGAGACAACCAGGCTGGACTCTACACCTTCCTTTCTATCTACAGAAACATTGACTTCTCCTATTGCCATTTAGTACACAGGTATGTTCCACAATGTGTGCATTGTATTACTAGTAGAATGCATGCACAATGTTCTCCAAGGTGGCCAGTTTTCTGAAGGCAGAAAAGGATAAAGAAGGGTACAGGTGTCTATCTCTTTCAGTCAATGGGTACAGTGGGGACTTTATCCAAAGATAGAACTCTCTAGCCATCTTTTAAATCTTTGCTTTATTAAGTACTAGAGGCCAGTGCACAAAATCCATGCATGGGTAGAGTCTCTAGGCCTGGTTGGTGATCAGGGCCAATCTGCGGGGTGACTGGTGTGGCGATTGGGGGTCCCCTGCTGGTACCCGCCTTGGCGGGCCTGGCGCTGCCTGCTCACTAGCCCTGCCTGCCCCCTCACCACCGTTGCCGGTTGCCTCCCTCTGCGGGATGACCAGCGGGGTGATTGTTGGGGTACCCCACTGGCACCTGCCTTGGCAGGTTGCTATGATGCACACTGACCACCAGGGGACAGACGCTCAACACAGGAGCTGCCCCCTGGTGGTCAGTGTGCTCCCACAGGGGAAGGGCCGCTAAGCCAAAAGCCGGGCTCATGGCTGGCGAGTGCAGCAGCGGTGGCGGGACCCTCTCCCACCTCTGTGGCGGTGCTAAGGATGTCCAACTGCCAGCTTAGGGTGTAGGCCGGGCTAAGGGACCCCTCTGAGTACACAAATTTTGTGCACTGGGCCTCTGGTATAGGATAATGCAAATGTATCTTTTTACTAAGTATGACATTTCTAAGCCTCCTTTCCACCCGTTTTGTTCCTGATGCTCTGACTCTACCAATGTGAACATGGATCAGGAACCTCACCCCCTTCCAAATAAGAGTTTTATAGTCTTAGGTCTGACATATTGACTACATACCAGAAATCACCAGAAGACATTCCTCTGATACAAGTCTCAGCCTTCTCTAAGCTTCACCTCCAGCTGACTTACAATACTTAACAGTGGCCAGGGAGTGTTTGGCTTCCATATTGCTCAAATTTTGGATGTTCCTTCAACTTTTAACATTCCAAAATTGAAATTTAATAGGGCAGACAATAGGAGGAAATTACAGAGAGGAAAACCTGTAGCAGAAAGAAATACACAGGAAAAAATAAATATTTCCTCAGGCCAAATGATCTTGTGAAATTATGTTTAGCTTGGCTATTAAATGAACTTGGAATCTGTTGATCAATGAAAATTGAG